GCCCCTTTAATGCTTCTCACTGCAAAGTTATAAAGATTAGACAAAAGTCTACACATTGCTGAGAYAAAAAATGTTTCAAATAAATTGTGGCAACTTCTAAGACATATTGTGGCTTGTAAAAGTCTGTTTTCAGACATCAGTTTCCTTATGATTTCGTAGAGGGAGTAATCTGTGCCGGACAGCTGAGTTCCAAGAGAAGTGAAGAGCAGCAACTGAAGGCTGAGGAAATCATGTCAGATCCACTTATCATCTCTGCAAGTGTGCCTCAAGGCTCCATTCTGAGCCCAACGCTTTTCTCTATTTACATCAATGATGAATCAAAGACTACGGGCACCTCCCAAATTCACCTATACGCAGATGACACCATTTTGTACTCAGTTGGCCCTTCTTCCCAATCAGTGGCTTCCAGTCTTCAACTCAGCCTCACCTCTATAGAGCATTTCTTCAACAATCTCCACCTCCGTTTGAATACCACTAAGACCAAGTGCATCTTATTCAGCCGAAAACCTGTTGCCTCAACTCCATCCACAATCGCCTGCATGAACGACATGGCACTGGAGTATGTCAAAACTTACAAAAACCTAGGCATCTGGTTGGATTTCTCCCTTTCATTCACATCACATCAATAACCTTCAAACAAAAGTTAAGGCCAGACTAGCCTTCCTATTCCGTAATAAAGTTTCTTTTATTCATGCCACCAAATGCACCCTAGTTAAGACGACAGTGCTGCCAATTGTGGATTATGGTGACATATATAGAATAGCACCAAATGCAGCTCTTAAACTTGACACAATTTATCATTCAGCCATCCRTTTTGCCACTAATRCTCCCTTTCACACCCAWCACTGTGATCTGTATAAACTGGTGGGCWGGCCCTCCCTTCACACCCGATGCCTCCATCATTGGTTTCTCTTCATATACAAGACAATCCTGGGTAAGACACCTCGCTATTTGACCTCCCTTCTTCGTGCTGCTCATAACACGTATCAAACAAGATCAAGTAACATCATCAGATTTAATACCCTCCCACCATCTACCACCTTTGGACATAATGCTTTTCACTTTGCAGCAACACGACTGGAACACACTCCAGAATACCCTTAAACTTACATCTCTGATCCCATTCTCCATATTTAAGCAGAACATCCAAAACATAGTCAGTGACGCCTGTTCCTGTTGACTGTTTCGAACACACATTTAAGCTTTTTCTTTTTCTACATTCTACATTTATTTCTTTTCGTGTAAATGTTTGTGTCAATGTTGTATACATATTGTATGTTTTTATTCATTCATGCAGCCTCTTGGCCAGGTCATGTTTGTAAATGAGAAGTGGTTCTCAAACAGTTTACCTGGATAAATAAATGTTAAGTAAATAAATAAAAAACAGCAAACCTAAGTAATTAGTCTTGAACACCACACAGAGGCAGTGTTGCTTCTTACAACTCCAAACTCACAGCTGCTTTCATTCATAAGAATTAACTTTTATTTCACTTTAAGACCATTTCTCTTTAAGACTGAATGTGAATTTTTGATTTAAACTGGTAGTTATTTTGTTTTACCACTATGTGGTGACTGCTTTACAGAAGCCATTCAAAATTGTATAAGATTTTCCCTGAAACAAACAACTGATTACTGACTTAGAGAATAAAGATGTCTTAGTCTTGCTGTGACTTTACTTATTTATGATTTTTTTTGTCACAATAAATCCAACGGGTGTTTTTCAAAAAGGGGGCTGCCAGAGGGTGCAAAGGGGTCTTCAAAAGATGTAACAAAAAATTAAGAAAAAAGTACAAAAGTAATCTTTGAATCTAATAAGTGTTTTAAATAATTATCAAAAATCTAATCTGTTCTTGAATCATTATTTAAAAGTGTAATTTATAGCAAATTAGAATGCCATTAAAGAGCTTAAAAGAGGTTTGATTAATTTTTTAAGTTGTTTTTTCAGTGGAAATACTAGTGTTGAAATTCTTATGTTACAGAAATGTAATWGTTATTGAATAGTGCATAAAACTGAGAGAAAAAACATTCTAAAAGTTTTTGTTTCTTTACAAATTGTAGCATTGTTTGTGGGTTTCAAGATGGGTCACAGGCGGGGCATTACATGGAAATGTTTGGGAACCCCTGGATTAGAGCATCGCAGTGCTGTGAGGAGACAACCTCAGGTGAATTAGCAAAAATATAAAACCAAATTCCCTCCTTACAGAACATCCTCCCACGCCTGTTAGCCTCTGCTGGGTTGCAGGGAAGGATTAAATCATCTGCCTCCAATAAGCATTAATGAGGGGAACAAACTCATCCAGAGTGGGCGTCTCTCTCTCTCTCTCTCTCTCTCTCTCTCTCTCTCTCTCT